TCTCCCCCCACCCCCCCGGAGACCTCGCTCACCCTTTCCCCAAACTCCGCCGCCAGCCCCGAGCCACACACTGAGAGACCCCGGCCTGGCAGGCCACCAGCTCGCGACAGCCCCTCCTGCAGGCTCCCCTGGGCCGTGGGTCCCGGGGCTCCTCCACCGCCAGCCCCGGGGGCCTGAGGGAGCCCTGCTCCGGAGACCTCTAGACGCCGCCCGCCCGCCTTCCTCACCTGGTACTGCGCCGCGGGGCCCACGGGGCCCATGGGGCGGAAGGCGGCAACCCCAGGACCCCCCAAGCCTCCTGAAGGCCCGGGGCCCCTGAGCGATGGGTTGGGCAGCATTCCGGGTCCCGCTGGAGGAGGCGGCGCACCGAGGACCGCGGCAACAGCGCCGCCGCCGGGGCTCAGCGGGGGCAGCGGGAACCCGCCCGCGCCTCGGCCAGACATCGCTCCGTCCCGTCCCGCGGTGCAGCGATCCGGCCTCCGGGCTCCGGGGCCAGTCCGCTCCGCGAGCGCTGCGCCGCGATCCGGGACTTTACGATCGTAATTCCGGGTTCCGGAGTTGGCCGATCCGGGTTCCGGGATTTCTTAATCCAAGTTCACGAGTTCCTCACAGACCCGCTTTAGGGCCACGTCCTGGCTCTGCCTCCGCTCCTGACGCAGGAAATTCCAGATCCGGGTTCTGCTGCGCGCCCGCCTGCGTCTCCCAGCATCCGGAGGTTGCACCACCGTAGTCCAGTTACCCACAGGCGGTTACTAACTCCCAGCCCGCCCAACCCACCCCAGCGCTAGACCCCGCCCTCTCCCGGAAACCAAATCCAGGACGCCTCTTCAAATCCCGCCCCTCGCGAGACCCGCCTCAAGCAGCCCGGCCAGTAACTCGCGTCCTCGGAGCCCCGCCTCTGGAGGCGGTCCTTTCCCAGAGGAGAGGAGCGGAAGCGGCTAGAGGTGCGGGGTCAGAGGTCACCTGGGGCCGCCACTGGCTTGGGTTCACGGCCCTTTTCAAAGTGCAATAGTTTTATCAAGTCTGCGCATTTTCAGCATTAAAGACAAGAGCTGCGCCGGATGTGGTAGCGTACACCTTTAGTCCTAGTACTGGGGAGGCAGAGGCAGGCGGATCTCTGTGAGTTCAAGGCCAACCTGGTCTACATAGTGAGTTCCAGGCCAGCTGGGACTACAGGGAGACCCTGTCTCAAAAAGACAAAAAAAAAAAAGACAAGAGCTGCACAATAACCGCCGACTGAACTTTGTGAAAGCCGGTCCCAGGGTCTTGGGATGTAGGCCAGAGTCTAGAGTGATTGCCTTCCATCACCATTACCCGCATTTCTGCCCTCTCCATAAAGCCTGTATTCCTTGCTCAGCTCTGCCAGGGACGTGGGGGTGCCCCAGACTCGATCCAGTTGGGTGAATGGTTGAGGTGGCCAAGCGCGGAGTTATTATCGCACATTTTTAACATGTGCGATAAAAAAATGTTTTTAGGTGATGAAAGCTTGCATCAATGAGAGACTGACTTCTAAACAGTTGAAATAAGCTCTTTCTTCAGTTTGTATAACACAATTTCAGAAAATTGAGATTCTTTTCAAAAACATATTAGGAAACAAATATTCAACATGCAGTGCTCCAGCTATGCCAGGGCCCTACCCTCTGCTGCTGTGGGGTCTCCTCCCCAATACATAATACTACTTCAATTAGCATTGGAAAAAGAAGAACAACACAGCTGTTTCAGGCTGGGGACTAGCTCAGTCTGTAGAGCATTTGCCTAATATGCACAAAGCCATGGGTTTGAGTCCCAGATCAGCTGTACAAACCTGGCTTAGTGGTGTATGCCTGTAACCCTAACACTCAGAGAGTGAAGGCAGGAGGATCAGAAGTTCATGGTCATTCTCAGCTACATAACTATTGAGACCCTTTATTTAAAGCAAAAAAAAAAAAAGGTTCTTATTAAAATGTGTTTTTTGGCTGGACATGTTAGCACACACCTTTAATTCCAGCACTCAGGAGGCAGACAGATCTCAGCCAGTTCAAAGCCAGCTTGGTCTACACAGTTCAGCCAGCACTACAAGAAAAAGCAAAAAAACTTTCATGGTAGTGTATGCCTTTAATTCCAGCACTTGGAGACAGAGGCAGGCAGATCTCTGTGTGTTCAAGGCCAGTCTGGTCTACATGACACGTTCCAGGTCAGCTGGGGCTACAGGGAGACTCTGTCTCAAAAAAACCAAAAAAAAAAAAAAAAAATCCCCACAAGCTGTAGTTCGAATCTTCAAAGGGCCCATGTGTTAAAAGGCTTGATCTTGAGGGTGGTTCTATTAGAAAGTGGTAAAACCTTTGATAGGTAAGGAGGTCCTTAGGGTCATGGAAGCAGTGATCTTCAAAGGGAATGGTGGGACTCCAGCCGCTTCCTCTTTTTCATTGCCCCCTAGATCCTGGTGGAAATGTTTTTATTCTACCACACTTCCACCCTGATGTGCTACCTTGTCATAGGCTCAAGGCCACAAGGCTAATAATTGATCATGGACTGGAACCTTCAAAACAGTTCAAATAGACCTTTTCTCATAACTTGATCATCTCAGTTATTTGTTGTAGTGATGGAAAGCTGGCTAACATACCATAATGTGACAACTGCTAAAATAAAGGTATTCACAAGTTACCTGGAGAAGCCTTTAATGGAGAACAGACATTAATAAAGACTTCTTAGTAGAGGACATGAAGCAGTACAGTATGACAAATTACTGTTGTTGAACCATCAAATGCAAAACAAAGCTCCTTTTCTATGATCACAGTTCTCACACTGTCTAGCAGATAAAACTTCTGAAGTATAGAGACTTCCAACAGTGGGAGCAGATGCTGGTCTAAAACAAAGATTTCAGTCCTAGGAACCCAGCCTCCTAGAACCCAGAACATCACAGGGCTCCTTGGTGATTTCATTTGTTTCTGGGGTTGCAGTGACAGAGTTGGCAAAGAGAACCTTATGAAATTTGGAAAGGCTCTTTTGGAAGGAAAAATTGACACATGGTGTTTACAGCTTTGCTCTGGTTCTTCCATCGGAGTGAATGCCAAATGTTTTCTTCTGGTGTCTAAGCTAGCATGTCAAATAGGATTCTTTGGTCTGGGCTGGAGCTGTAGCTCACTTGGCAGAGTGCTTGCCTAGCCTGCACGAAACCCTGGGTTCCATCCCCAGCACCACATAAGTGTGGTATGGTGGTGCATGCCTGTAATCTCAGTTTTGAGAGGTGGAGGCAGGAGGATTCAAGTTCATCCTTGGCTACATAGGGTTCATAAGATCCTGTCTCCAAAAAGAAAAGGGCTCAAAGATAATGAAAACTAGGACCGGGTACTTGGGCAAGTGAATCCCCTGCAGGTCAGCAAAGTTTGACGTTGTGATATAGCAATTGTGACCAGTGCATATGACTGTGTGTTTGTCATTTGTCAGAGCCCACAGAACTATGTAACACGCAGTGAATGTCAATATAAACTATACAGTTTAATGATAGCACATCAATACTGATTCATTAGTTGTAACAAATGTGCAAACTAACAGATGTTGTGTAAAGCCAGGGATGTTGTCATCCTAGCGTTTTCTTTAACTCATGTAACAGCATCAGTGTTTGCCAGTGGAGAATCGGGTAATACATGTGAGGCAATGTTATACAGCCATTAAAAAAGATGCTTGTGCTGGATAGTTTCGTTGTCAACTTGACACACCTGGTTGGAGGGAACCTCAACTGAGCAACTGTCTCCATTGAATTGGCCTGTGGCCATGTCTGCAGAACTGGTGAGTGATGTGGGAGGGCCCAGGCTACTGTGGGCAGTGCCACCCCTGGGCAAGTGGTCCTGTATTGTATAAGAAAGGCTGAGCATGGGCCAGGGGAGCAAGCCAGTAAGCAGTGTACCTCCATGGTCTGTGCTCCAGGTTCCTGCCGAATTCCTGCCTTGGCTTCCCCTGATGATAAACTCTCCTGTAAGCTAAATAAACCCTTTCTTCCCCAAGTTGGTTTTAGTCTTTTTAACCACAGCAATAGGAAGTAACAAAGCAATGTTGTTAAAAAGCAAAGACACATTGTTGCAAGAGTTTGTAAACAATTATGAATAGTGGAGGTCTTGAGCAGTTTTACAGCAGTGAAACTGTTCTGTGTGATATAGCAGTGGTGACCAGTGCATATGACTGTGCATCTGTCATTTGTCAAAACCCATAGAACTATGCAACACACAGTGAATGTCAATATAAACTATACAGTTTAATGATAATGTGTCAATATTGATTCATTAGTTGTAACAAATGTACAAACTAACATGTGAATAATGGGAAGACGGGGAGGGATGAAGAAATATCTGTTCCTTTTAAAATCTTGTTTATTTTTATTTATTTATTTATTTATGATTTATTTTTGGTCTTTTTGAGACAGGGTCTCCCTATAGCCCCAGCTGTCCTGGAACTCACTATGTAGACCAGGCTGGCCTTGAACTCACAGAGATCCACCTGCCTTTGTCTCCCAAGTGCTGGGATTAAAGGTGTGTGCCACCATGCCCGGCTTTTTATTTTTATTGTATGTGTATGAGTATTTTGCCTGCATGTATGTAAGTGTGCCTGTGTGTGCAATGCCTGGGGAGACTAGAAGAGGGCTTCAGAGCCCCTGGAATTGGAGTTATGGATGGTTTAACTGCTGAGCCATCTCCCCAGCCCTAGTCTTTTATTTTTTAGAGCAATTTTAGATGTACAGAAAAAAAACAAGTAGATAGATGCTGGAGAGATGGCTCAGCAGTTAAGAGCATTGGCTGCTCTTGAAGAGGGCCTGGGTTCAATTCCCAGCACCCACATGGTGGCTAAAAACAATCCATAACTCCAATTCCAGGGGATCTGATGCCCTCTTCTGACCTCTGTGGCATTGCACAACAAGGATGCGCTTATGCATGCAGGCAATACACTCATGCACATAAAGTAAAAATAATAAATTAAATATTAGTCTAAAAGCAAGGGAGGAGGAATTAATGAGCCTAATGGCTACAGCCAGTTCATAACATTCTTTCAGTCTCTGGAGTCAAGGTGTAGAGCACAATTCTACCATTTGTTCTCTCCCATGCAAGGTGGAAACTGGGTGGCATTGTGGTTCATTCCTGGTCACTTCTCAGGTTCTCAAAGATGACTTCCTGACTTTTTAATTGGACCCAAAGCTACTGTTATAAACAGACCATTACTACAGAGGGACAAGGGAAGTGCTTCCACTAGGATCTCTGACTTACCTTTGTTCCCACTCTGGTCCCTCAATGTTCTTGTTCTCTGGATTTCTATCTTTAGCTCTTTATACCTAATTTATCTAGACATACTTGTCCTTCATCCCTACAATTACTGTCTGTTTTCTGATGACTCTGAATTTCTATCTCCCATCTCTTGTCAGAGCTTGAGATCCGTATTTCCATCCATCCATATTGCTTGCTCCATCTAGCAATATGCTCCGAAAGCCACTTAAACCTGTCTGTTCAAGGCAATGTCTCACTGTCCTCCCAATTTGCTACTCCTCTCCTGTATCTATCTTGGTGAAGGGCACAAGGACATTGCAAGGTCCCAAGCACACCTTGTTGAAACATTCATCCTGAAACTGGGCTTGGTGGTGCAGGCCTTTAGTCCCAGCACTTCGGAGGCAGAGGCTGGTGGATCTCTGAGTTCAAGGTCAGCCTGGTCTACAGAGAAAGTTCCAGGTCAGCTGGGGCTACAGGGAGACCCTGTCTCAAAAAGACCAAAGGA